GACCGGGGCACGAGCCTGCGTCCCCTGCATCGGCAGGCGGACTCTCAACCACTGCGCCTCCTGGGAAGCCACTCTTAACATGTTTGTGTTCTCGCCAATTTGGCTGCTTTTCTTTTGCTTCCAGTTGCATTTAGTTAGAAATGAGGTGCACAGAGTTGATCTTATGTTCTGGGGCTGCTGCTGGCAGAACGGAGCGAGAACTCATGCTCAGCAAAGGGTGCCCCAGCCTGGCCCATTCTCCTCTTTCAGCCCCACCCTGGAGGAGATAACAGCACAGCCCACATCTCTGTGCAGCAAGGGGCACATCTCTGTGCCCCTCTGTTCAGGGCCCTGAACAAGCTGGTGGTGAGTGTCACATTTTAAAGGGGGCACAGCCCAAGGACCCTCTCTGCCTTGGGGTCACAGGTCTTGTACTGATCCCTGAGGCTGAGAAGCAAGAACAGAACTGCCTCAATCCCGATAAAACTGCCGTTGCCCTTTTCTCCATCCTCCCAACCAGTCCTCAGACCTGAAGGAAATAACCTAGTCTTGCATGTGAAGAAATACTTCTCTAGAATCCAGGTGCTAACATAAGATGTCGAAGTCCGCGATAATGGCGCGCCTCCTCCCTCCCCGGGGCCCCCAGGCCTCCTGCTGCAGTGGCCCCCTCACAGCACAGGCAGATTCAGAGGGAGAGGTGCCAGGCCCCGCTGCGGCTGAGCCCCAGCCTGAGTCCCTTCCCTTCCTCAGCCTTCCCACCCCCCGCCCAGTCTCGCTGCTGCCGACGAGGTGACTATGCCATGACACGGACACTCTGGCAAAGGCTGCTCTGACCGGGAATCTCCACAGACAGAGGGGCCCAAGCCCCAGAACTCAGTGTATGAGAGACGCCCAAGTTGCCACAGGTTCAGCCAGGGTCCCCTGGATGAGGCCCGCATGCCGCTGGCATGGTCTGTAGCACAGCCACCTCTCCCGGAAGCCAGGGACTGGAGAGCTGGGGCTGCAGACTCCCACTCAGGTGCCCCTCGCCCTGCGTCTGGCTTCCAGCCACCCTCAGGGGCTCGGATCAAACAGAAGACCTCCAAGGGCACCTCAGGGCAGCAGAGGAGTGGGCAGGAAGGGCTGGGGCCTCAGGGAGGGCCGTGCAGCAGCAGAGGGGTGTTCATCCAGAGAGAAAGCAGCCCTGGGACCCCTCGCTGGAGACGCTTCTTAGGCTTCGAGAGGGCTGCCCTGACCGAGGCTGGGGGCCCCAGGGAACCTGAAGGTGGAGCCACTTCTTGCTCTGGCTGGTTCACGCTTCTTCTGGGCTGCATGACCTGCTCCCTGAGGATCGTCTTCCTGGGTGCCCGTCTTGGATGTGGGTAGTCAGAGCAGAGAATGGGTACGCTGCCCAGCTTGCTAATGGCCCAGCTGGGGGTTCTGCTGCAGCAGCCACTCCAGGGTCTCCATGAGGTACAACATGCCATAGTGCTGGGCAATGTTCTGGAAGGTTCTGATCTGCTCCATGAAGACCTACAGGAATGACCAGTCACAGTGAGAACTAGTCCCAGAGGAGGCACAGGGATGCAAGGCCGAGACCCAGAAAGGGCCAATGGCCGAGGGGCAGCAGGGCTGGCTGTCCACGGGAGGCCCCACCTTGGTGTGGATGGTGAGGGAGAAGGCCCCGGCACAGCTACAGTACATGGCCATGTTGGTCTCCTTCACACCCCGGCACTTCAGGCAGATCTGCAATGAGAAGCAGCCCCAGTCAGGAGCCTCCCCGGCCCAGGCCAGGGCTGGCCAGTCGCTTGGCACCTGACAGGCTTCCCTCCCCCGTGGCCTTCACCTCAATTCTGAATAAAATCTGAGACTTGATAATGGGCTTTATCCAAACATCCCAACTGCTTCCCAACACTCTCCCGGTGGACACCCTACCCTTGACTCTGAGTCTGGGGCTCCCCCATCCATCACACCAGGCACCAGCTGTTCCCTGCCTGGACCCCAACACCTTCCTCGGGTCTTTGCTGAGATGTTCCCTCTTGGTGAGACCACTCCTCCATCTAATGCTGAAAGCCTCCCTTTTGCTCACACACTGCCTGTTGGTTCTCTTTACTCTTACCATCACTTAGTTGTCCTGTTTACTGTCTATCTCCCTCCACTAGAATAAAAAAGGTCCATGAAGCCAGCACTTGGCTCCTGTAGGTGCCCAACAGATGCTGTAGGAATGAATGAGTCACCTGGGCTCATGGACAAGGCCTGACCCAAGAGGTGGTTACCTTGGAGGAGCAGGTAACGACGCTGAGACCTGTGTACACCTCTAGTTTCCCATGGGTGCGAACTGCTTATCAACAAACCCTCCACCAACTGGAGGGGCGGTCGGGCTGGGTGCAGAAAAGCCCCAGCACCAGGCCCCACTGCTCACCAGGTCCTGCAGGGTGAAGGCCATCAATTTCTTCTGCAGGGCTTCCACCAGGGCCATCTCAATGACTGATGAGTCGTAGGCTACCTGACAGTTGGAGCAGAGCCACTGAGGCAGCACAGACCCATCCTAGGCAGAGAAGGAAAGGGACCAGGTCACCTTCCTCAGCCCCAGTATTGAGAAGGGATGGAAAGAGAAGAGCTCGTGGTGAGAACTGTGGCACTGCTTGCTCACAGCTCCAGGGCACACTCACATCACCAATGTCATCGCTTACGTGTTTACCAGGACAAGGCTCTG